GCAGATGGCGGGCCAGGCCGGCCCCCGCCCCGGAGGCGGGGCTCACAGCGGGGAGGGGTCTGCGCGCCTCGGGATCCAAGCTCGGAAACCCCGCGCGGCCCCCTCGCAGCCCCTTGTCTGGGGCGACGGCCGAGCCCCCGGACGCGGCCTCCCAGGGCCCTGCAGCCCAAGGCGCCCAGACGCGACCCAGCCCCGAGCCCCGCGGCCGCCTCTCCAGCTTCTCGCCCGCGCGGCGCCTCCCAACACGCGTCAAGGCACCCACACACGCCAGCTCCCTGCCCCTGCGCGGAGATGTCCTTGACCTCGCCGTGGCCTCTGACTGGCGGGCCGGGTCCTGCGACCCCAGCGCCGAATCCTAGCATCCTGTCCTTTGATCTTCGCCCTCCGTGCAGGGTCCTGGACCTGCTGCCCTCCGGCGGGCCTGTCCCCTGCCTGTCCCACACTGGCTTCGCCAGCCGGCTCCTTGTGATGTCCTAGAACCCCCACCCGGGGGGTCCACATCCTCCCGACCCCAGTGCACGTCGTTGTCCTTTCAACTCCCGCTTTTAGTTCACTCTGAGCGCAGGCTCCTCGGTGCCCACTTTCATCACCACCCGTCTCGAAACCGCGCCCGCTCTTTCTAAGAAACGAGTCTGTGCTTCCGTGTCTCGGCTGCCCGAAGACCCCTCTCCAGCGCAGCTCTCGCCCTCCCGAGCCCTCACCCTCCGTCTCGGCAAGTCGCACTCTTGCCCCGGGCCTTTGCACACACCGTTTCATCAGCGTGGGATGCCTTTTCCCAACTCCTCCCTACGCCCTTCACAGCGCGTCCTAAGGGTCTCTTTTTCTAGGCCCGAAATCTCGGACGCCGTGTGTCACCCCTCCCGGCGCCCACTACACTCCGTTCTTTCCTCGGCTGAACTTCTTGTCCGGGGTATCCTCGGATGCTCCGTCGTGGCCCGGCGCCCAGTCTCGGCCTGGAACGGAGCCGGCGTCGGCGAGGGTGGCTGAGGGGCCTGCGCTTTTGGCACAGGGAGGTCCCGGGTGTCCACCCCCCCAAGGCGGGGCAACCCTTATCCCCGGGCCCCGAGCGTCCTCTTCGGCCCCCTCCCCCAGCCAGGCCGGGCTCCTACCCAGGCGCACGGCACACGTTGCGGCCGCGCGGGTTCAGCTCCTCAGGCGCCGCTGGGTCGGGCAGCAGCCAGAGCAGCAGCAGCAGCAGCAGCGACAGCAGCGGCGGCGGCGGTCCTCTGGCTCCCCGGCGCCGCGCCGGCCCGGCCCCCCGGGGCCCTGCGCCCTCCATGCGGGCGCGGGCACGGGTGCGGCCGCAGCAAGAGCGGCCGGAAGCGGAGTGCGCGGCCGGGCGGGGGGCGGCAGGAGGGGCGCCGGGCCGGGCAGGAAATTCCACATCGGCTCCCTGATCCGGGGCCAGCCGCGGCCGGCCTGGCGGCAGCGCCCGCCCCGCGCGCCAGACCCCACCCTCCGGCCGCGCCACCGCCCCTCTGCGCGGCCCCCGCCCCCACGTCGCGGCTCTCAAACTTTGGGAGAACTGGGAGAGGGCCCGCAGAGCGTCGGGGAGGGTGGGGCCGCAGGGGCTTGCCGGAGGAATCCCCAGTCCCAGTGTCTTTTCCTTCCATCCCCGGACACCCATCTTCTGGAGAAGCCCCTGTGTGAACTCACTGTGTAGCCAGGCCCCGGGTGGGAAGGCGGCTGGGGGACAAGGGTGCGAAGCACCAAATCCCCCCTTTACCCCCAGGGCCCCAGAAGCGGCCAAGGGAGGGTGTCCGGTAGACTGCCCCGGTCAAGGCCGCCATCCTGCCTCTGCTACGCTCCACCCTCGGCCCCCACTCCCTGAATCCCTGTAGTGCCAAGCTGGGTGGTCAGCTCCTTCTGAGCACTCGGTGCGAAGCTCGCAGTGAACGGGACAGGAACAGGATGGTCGAGGCCTGTGGGTACACTCGGTCCACCCCGGAGGCCCGGGCAGATCATTCTGGTAGGGATGGACTGGAGAGATGCCAGGGAGGTAGAGTGGCCCAGCCACGAGCTCTCCTAGAATGTGGGGGTAAAAGCAAAGGAGGTGGGTGGGAGAGCTCCAGTCCTAAGGCCCTGCAATCCTTGTCAGGGGTTGAAAAGGGTCTGGGGAGCCTGGGAGAGTGATTCTGCTTGAGAAGGCTGCTGGATTACCAAAAGGAAAAGTCCAGAGTGTCCTCAGGGCTGGAGACTTGAGAAGTCCTGCATCAGGAGGGCAGGGGGTGACAGCATAGAGCAGAACAGCAGCAGAAGACCAGGAGGAAGGGGCACAAGACTGAGAAGAACAGGGCCCGGGGGGACCAAAGGGATGAGTGACTCTGGGACTGGAAAGTAGGGAGGTGCCTGGTGACTCGGGGACGGCAGGTTCGACCCTAGGGACCATGGGGCAGGGTAGGTGGGCTAGCCTTCGGATGGAATAAGGGAAGCGGGAGCAGCTAGGTCCCTCTAAAGATGAGCATGTGTTTTGAGGACTTAGGAGCTGGCAAGAGGCCCTGAGCAGGGAGACGTGTACCTGCCTTCTCTTGGGAAGCAGGCTGCATGCAGATACCAGGGAGGGAGGAAGTGGTGTCTTTCTTTAGTTATTTAGTTTAGTTAGTTATCAGTAAGGAAGGTGGGACTGGGGGAAGAGGCTTGGAACAAGGGCCACCAAAAGGCCCAAGGCTAAGGACATCACCAGGCTGACTGAACCAGACACCTGTCCAGGACAGGCTGGGGGAGGGTGGAATGGGAAGGAGCAGGGTAGGGGGCTTCTGAGGTTAGGGCCTCTCACTGAGTCATGCTGGCCCAGGAGAGAGGCCCAAGGCAGGTAGGCAGGTAACAATTGGGTAGACTGGAAGAATTCACACCCATGGGATCCAAATGCAAACACTTCTTGGAGACAAGTAAACAGGCCAGACCACTTCTGGGAAGTTCCTCCTGGGCATGGCCCTGACCTCGGCAGTGCCCTCCCAATGCCAGAGGACAGGGAGGGGGTGGGGCAGGGCCCTGCCACAGAGGCCCCACCATTAGCTACCACCAACAGAGGCCAGCAGTGGCCCATGTGGCTGCAGTGACTGTCCCGTAGCTTGTCGCAGCCCCGCTCCCAGTCTTCAGAGGCACAGATCCCAGGGGTGGAAGCACTCGCCCTAGCCGGACCGAGTTCAGGAACAGGCACCTCAAGCTATATCACCTTTGTTCCCCTCCCTTGGCTCCTGGGCCCCAAATTCCTGTGAACACCAGTGGACGATGCCTCCACTCCTGAACGACTCAGATCTCTACCTACCCACATCTGTGTATCACCCAAAATAGTCTAATTTCATATATGACTGTCCCCGACTGCCTAAAGGACGAGGACCATCCCAGCCTTTTCTCACTCAGAACCAGTCCCCTGTATGTGCACCGAAGGGGCCATCTCATGATCGACAGCTCTGGTGTCAAAGGCAGGGCCCGTGCCTGTCCCAGACACCCCGCCTGCTATCTGGAGACTGGGAAGTGCAGCTGGAGTGGTCGTCCATGTGCCTAGCCTGGTGCCAGGTGAGTACCAGGGAAGCTGTGGGTTCCCTGACACCCACAGGCCACCACACAGGCAAATCGAGGGAGCCTAGAGCCCATGCTGATCAGTTCTGGGCACAATGGCTTCCCAGCGGTCAACTTCAAAGGGTGAGGGTTTTGCAAGCAGAAAGGGATGAGCAATAAGCCAAATGAAAGCATGGATGCAGGACCTTTGAGCCTGGGCCCCAAGGCCACTGTGGCAGAGCCAGGTAGCTACCCAGCTTTTAGGATTTCTTCCATGGCTAACATCTACCCCACCCCGTGCTCTGCAGGCACCAAAGAGCCTTCCCTCCTCCCCTGTGGACCAGAGGTCTCATAAAGCTACAGCTCTGGGTAGGGAGATGGTACCAGCAAACTTGGGACATATTGAAGATGGGGCCCAGGGGAGCATTTCTGGTGCTCTCTCCCCCAGAAACATCCAGTCTGCAGGAACTGCCAGCCTGGCCTGAAAGGTGGTGGCAGAGACAGGAAGCAACGGCCCAGAGTGTTCTCGCACCTGGCCCTCAGGAGCAGGGGAGAAGACAGTGGAGGACTGTAGCCACCCTGTCCCATTGGACGTGACCCACCAGGGTCAACAATGGGCTTTCCGCCTGGCAGCGCAAGTGCATGATGTCACATGGGGGTTAGGGAGTGGGGGCGTTTCCTCAGGAGCACCCGGGCCCCAAGAGACAGCGAGGAAGGTCACACACATGGCCCCGAGGAGCAGGCAGCATCTCCCATTGGTCTCACCCCACACCCCAAAGTCTTAAAGGTGTCAGAAAAAACCCAAAGCAACTGATTTCCTGCCCCTCTCCACCCTTTCCTCCCATCAAGTAGCTCACTGCCTCTGCTCCTCCCACCCATGACAGGGTGCCTGCCAGTCACAGCAGGCTCTGGGCAAAGCCCCGAGGAGCAGAGAAGACCCAGTTGTCTCCATGATCTGCCCAGCTGCCTCGGGGAGGACAGAAGCATAGGAAGTCACAGCTGGGCTGCAGGGCGGTGCTGGCAGGGAGGGAGTGTGTTCAGGTGGAGGCTGTGACGTGTAGAGGCAAAGCTGGTGGGCTGGAGAGGTCCTACCCACTGCGCCAGGAGCCGATGTGCTGAGAACGGACCTCATCTGGCAAATCTGTAGGAAGGGCAGCTTCCTCCTGCCACACGCTTGGACCTGGACGTGGGAAAGAGCCCATCCTGACAGGGCCTCCCTCCCCGGGCACTGGGGCCAACTTCCTGAACCTCAGGATGAGCTTTACGTGGGGCTGAAGTATTGCCAACTGTTGGAAAAGGAGCTCCTCACCAGAGAAGGTACTCGAGCAGGGCGGTGACCACCTGTCACCAGGCTGGGGTGTGTTTCCAGGTGACACCCCTCTCGCCTGGGGAGTGTACTGTGCTCTTGCCCCCGAGACAGACTTTTGGCCTCCCACTTCCACGCGGCGGCTCTGGCCTTGGCTCCCACACCAGAGCTGCACCCCAGCAACTCTCCCAGGAAGGGACCCAGTACTTCACGGTGATTGAGGCCGTGGCCACAGGAACAATTCACACCTTTTGTAAGAGGATTTATTTCATTTACCAACAACATGGTGTCAGAAAAGCCCAGCTGTAAGGAATCTTATCACTAGAACCAATCTCACACAACCTTATGCCTCTGCTCCCTCTCCAGCCCTTGGGAGCCCTCAATTGCTCAAGGCCCTGGCTATGGGGTAGGCAAGGGCCTCACCCTACCCCCTCCCTGCCCACAGAAGCGGGCTCGATATGCTTCAGTCCCCTTGCCCAGGTCCCTTTGGAAAAGGACACCTTCTCAGCCCAGCAAGGACCAGAAGCAGGGAGGCCAAGACAGCTGGTGACGGTGGACCCTGTCTGAGCTGAGAAGTGGGCCTGGTAACCCTTCAGAGGACCAGCGCCTTCCCGAGCACTTCCCCCACATGGTGATCCACAGTCCAGATCTACGGAGCCCCGCAAATACCTGCTGCAACTGGCAGACAGGCTGGTGTGAAAGAAGGGCGGCAGAAGCCAGCCGGCAGGGGGTGCCAGAAGGAAGGGTCTCAAGGCCCTAGGGTAAAGTGCTCTGGCTTGGGCTGCCCTTGGAGCTCCTACCACAGTTCCCTTCCTGCTCACACCAGCCCCAGAGCCCTAGTCTTCACTGGAGTTGTCGAACTCCTCCCAGTCAGACACACTCATCACCTCAGAGGCGAAGTCCGGGTCGGCCTGGCGGTCAGGGGTCCCACGGGGCGGCTCGAGGAGCAGGGAACGGGGCAGGGTGAGCACACAGGCCGCCAGGCCCGAGATGGAATTGTCCAGCTGGGGCCCCTCCTCCCAGCAGTCCTTCTCCACGTCGTAGATGTGCACGTAGCCTGTGCGGCTGCCTCGGTTGTGTGAACGGCCACCCAGCACATAGATCCTGTTGTCCAGCACAGCAATGCCGGGCTCACCATGCCCCGCCGGGAGTGGGCAGACAGATGACCACTGCCCAGATGTGCAGCTGTAGCAGGCCACCTGCAAAGTCAAGGCCGGAGTATAGCCAGGCACCTGCTGGGATGGGACTGCCAGCCTGGCCCAGGCCATCTGGACACAGCTGCAATGTTAGCAAGGCCCTGGATTCACACCCAGGCCAAGGGACACATGGGCTGTGGACACACCAACACATGGGCTGTGGACACACCAGTGTTGGAAACACTCTGTCCCATCTCCATGGCCCACAGTCGGCCTGTGGCCCCAGGAATGTGGGCGTTTTCCAGAAGGCACACTGTCATTTTCCATGGTCTGGTGGTACTGCTTCTCTCCCCTCCATAAGACTTAAGCTGACTGTGAGTATCTTTGCCCACCCTACAATAGCACCCCGTACCAGGGGGAAATGCAAATAAAATGTGGAAATAGCCGCTTGCTGACTAATAACCATCAACGTTCTCTTGTTTTCAAAATTATCTTAAACAGGAAACAAATTCACGGGAAAATGTTTAACTTACTAGTAACTCAAGAAATGCAAAATAAATGGTCAGAGACAAAATTAATTGTCTGACCAGAAACCTTAACCAAAGACCATAAAACCCAAAGCTGGTGAAGGTGTAGTGAAACTCTTCTGCTGTACACTTGTCTGACAAGCCAGGAGAAAAGCAGGTTGGCTTACGTACTGAAAGCCATACAAATCTTACCTTTTGGCTTAATAATCAGCTTTGGTTTTCCAGCTGTGGTAGGCTGAGAACTGGCCTCCCAAAGAAGGCCATGTCCTAATTTCTAGAACTTGTATTACTCAACATGGCAAACGGGACTTTGCAGATGTGACTATGGCTATGGACACTGAGAGGGGGAAGTTATCCTGGATGTTCCAGGTGGAGCCACCTAGTTGCACCAGCCCTTGAAAGCAGAAGGGAAGGTATGACAGGAGAGATGAGAAGTAAGAAGGACAACCTGCTGTCATTGGCCTTGAAGGTGAAATGGCCCTGTGCCAAGGAATGCAGAGATCTCTGGAAGCCGAGAAGGGCCTTCCCCGAGGGATTCTCCCCCGGGGCCTCTACAGAGGAGACACCCTGACAGCACCTGGGTTTGATCCAGGCGTGCCTCGTGTAGGACTTTAGACCCACAGAACTGTCAGAACACACTTACGTTGTTCTGAAGTGCCAGACTTGTGGTGAATTGTCATGGCAACAGTAAGAAACTAATACATTGCAGCCAGTGGGTCTCACCACGGCGGGCGGGGGTACAGTTAAAATAGATAGCTGAAGCCCTGGCTGGTGTAGCTCAGTGGATTGAGCGTGGGCCTGCGAACCAGTTGATCGCAGTTCGATTCCCAGTCAGGGCACATTTGTGGGTTGCAGGCCAGTTCCCAGCAGGGGCCAGTTCCCAGCAGGGGGTGCACCAGAAGCAACCATACATTGATATTTCTCTCCCTCTCTCCTTCCCTTCCCCTCTAAAGATAAATAAAATCTTAAAAAAAAAAAAAAAATAGATAGCTGAGCCCCACCCCCAGAGCTTCCTCACTGCATTTGCAGTGGGGCCTAAGAACCTGCATTTCTAATGCATTCTAATGTGATGTGAATGCTGCTGGTCTGGGGATCATACTTTGGAAACCACTGTTCTAGCCTATGGAAATAATCCAAAATACCTGAAAAGCTCTCTAGAGCAAATATTACTGATGATGTTATTTGGAACAGTTAAAACTTAGACCAAGCCAAATGACACACCAGTCTGACAGAATTTTGCACAGCCACAGAGGTAGGGGGTGAGGGGTGGCTGTGGAGACCAGACATTAACTGGAAAACATCCATGACAAACTTCAGCCAGAAGCAGAATGGGAGGTTCTTTAACTGAAATTGGGTGAAACTGTGAACAGGTAGAAGGACTAAAACACAGTGGCAAAGGACTGGATTATGAGTGTTTTTCTTCACCCGTCTCCTATGTTGAAGGTTTTGAAATGTGGTTATATTAACTTTACAATTAAAAATTTTAACAGTAACAAAAGCAAGCAAAACTACTCTGTATGACACTGTATCACCACATATTTGCCCAAACCCACAGGAGGTGCAGCACCAAGAGCGAGCCCTCACGCAGACCGTGGACTCTGGGTGACGAGTGTCACGGCGGGCTCACTGGCTGCAACACATGTCCCCCTCTGGTGGTGGCACTGACAGTGAGTGTGTATGGGAATGGGGGTATAGAGAGCTCTGCAGTTTCTGTTCAATTTTTTAAATAATTTTTTGGGGAAGTTTTAGATTTGTAACAAAATTGAGAAGGCACAGAGCTTTGCTGTCTACTCCCCGCCCCCACACATGCACAGCCTCCCCCAGCATCAACATCTCCCACATGGGACACACTTGTTACAGCTGACGAACTTACACTGACATACAGTCACCCCAAATCTACACTTTACCTGAGGGCTCATTCTTGGTGGTGTACATTCTATGGGTTTGGACAAATGTATAATGAAATATATCCATCGTACAGAGTATTTTCACTGACCCCCAAATCCTCTGCTCTATCTACTTTCTGTTCAATTTTGCTTTGGAAAAGAAAATTGATTAACATTTTCTTGCTGTGAACCTAAAACTGCTTTAAAAAATGAAAAATTTTTAAAAGGGGCATATGTTGCAAATAACTTTTTATCTATAGTGACCGGAAGGGACAGAACACCACCACGTGTGCAGGCAGCCCAGCCCCGTTTACCTGGTGCACGTCCCTCCTGTAGCCGGCATCGTTGTTGCTGCCCCCGATCACATACAGCTTGTCCAGGAGCGTGGCCATGCCATGCCAGGCACGCCGCACGGGCCCGTCGGCCAGCACGTGCCAGCTGTTGCTGTCCGGGTCATAGCAGTGTGTCTCTCTTAGGTAGTCCTCCCCTCTGCGGCCGCAGGTAATATACATCTTGCCCTCCAGCGTGGCACCAGCATGGGCATACACCTGCATGGGTCACCAAGAGAACAGGGGCAGGCAGGGAGGGGGCAGGAGGGCAGTGAGGGAGGGCAGCCAGCAGCCCTTGCCAGGGCCACTCAATCCCATAATTACCTGACACCTCTTGGTCTCACCAATTTCCTCTTCCTATTCCGGTAAGAATGCTCCCTGCCTTTTTGCTAGATGTACTGCTAGTCACCCACCCCTGACCTCTTCCTGATGGGGAATGACTCTACAGACCCAGAGATGACTCTGAGCTTCCATAGGGGAGAACGGAATCTCTGTCTTTCCCTTGTCCCGAAAGGAGAAATCAGCATGGGGGAATCTCAAAGAAAGCTAAGCATCATTTGCAGAGTCAAAGGAGAAGAAACAGCACTTCTGGGAACCCTTGACCCACCGTGAGTTGCTTCCACTTCTCCCCCACTTCCAACAACTAGCCTATCCTCCAGGCCTGCTGAACCCACTTTCAAAAGACTGGTTTGCAAATGATATCTGATATGGTGAGGAAAAAAGCGAAAGGCAAAAGTCAAAAAAATCAAACACCAAGAGTAATCTTTACTTATGGGTTTGTGTGGGAGAAGGCAATATATCACCCTGCTTTTGATTTTGGTCTTCAACCTTTCACATGCTTTCCGCTGTGCCCGAGTGCCCAGCCAACCTCTGCTACAGGCACCCCTCATGCCGGTCCCTATTGCTCCAAGGACCTCCTATCTCATACCTATCCCACACGAGGCCCTCCTGCTGTACCTGTGGGCACCAAGAAAGGGCACTGTTTTGGCAGGTGGGGTGGGGTGGGGAGAGGAGCCCCATGGGGTATGGAGGCTCCAGGGTTTGGTCCAGGAACAGCCACCAGCACTCAGGCTGTGTGGTGGCACAGCAAGTGGATGGGGAGGTAGACGGAGTGGAGAGCAAGAGTCAGAGCAGTGGGCAGGATACACACCAAAAGCTTAGGTCTTCACCCATCAACGGTGGGGGTCTGGAGAGGTTTCGTTTTTTAAAAATTTAACTCCATTTTGATGTAAGTATAGTTATAAAAAATAATTCAGGCCCCACGCACCTTTCAATCAAGACTCCCTGATAGTAAGAGTTTGTATAACCACAGTGAAATATCACACCATGACCCTGACACTGACAGTTAGGATACAGGACGGTTCCATCTCCACCAGGATCCCTCCTACTGCTTGTTTATGGTCACACCCACTGCCATCCTGCCCTGAAACCACTCCTTAACGCCAGCAACCACTCATCTGTTCTCCGTTTTGCCATTTCAGAAGTGTTACATGAATGGAATCATGTCATATATAACCTTTGGGGATTGGCTTTGTAGGCCAAACCAGGTTCTCTCCTGCTGCTGCTTGTATCCATAGTTTATTCCTTTTTATCGCCAAGTAGCATTCCATGCTGAGCACCAGCCACAGTTTGGCCATTCACCAGTTCAAGGATATCTGATTTGTTTCGTTACTGGCTGTTACCATTAAAGCTGCTGTATGTTAACGTAAAGAAGTTTTTGTTTCTCGGGGGAAAATCCCCAGGATGGCAACTGCTGGGTCTCGTGGCCAGCAGAGGTTAACTTTTACGACAGTCACTCTTTCCCAGCCCGGCTGTGCCGTTACCTTCCCACCCGCAACCTGTGCAGCGAACTGGTTTTTCTGCATCTTCACCAGTATTTGTTGTCCCTATTTTTCATTTTAGTCATTCTGAGATGTGGTTTTAATTTACATTTCCCTAATAATTAATGATGTGTTTTACCATCTCTATGTCGAAATAAAAGCTGAGCACATTTGTACGGGCCTATTTCTGGATCTCCCATTGCGTTCCAGGGACCTGTCTCTCCATCCCCCAGCACCACAGTGGTGATTACTGTAGCTCCGTAGTAAGTCTTGAAATTGGGTAGATTGATTCCTCCCGCTTTATTCTTTTTCAAAATTATTGGAGCTATTCTAGGACCATTTGCCTTTCTATATAAATTTCAGGATAAGCATTATAGCCACAAAAACACCTGCTGGGATGTTGTTAAATTACCGTATGTCAATTTGGAAAGACCTGGCATTTTTTATCATTTGAGTCTTCCGATGCGTGAATGTGGTATGTCTGTCTCCCCACTATTTACATCTTCTTTCACTGGCATCTTACAATTTCCAGCATATAAATCCTATAAATGTTTTGTGAAGATTTCTACCTAAGCGCATTTCATTTTTTGAGCAAGTGTAAATGGCATTATATTTTTAATTTCGGTGTCCATGTGTTTATTGCTAGTATACAGAAATAGTTATTGATTTTTTGTACGTTTACGTTACATCAACCCTGCAATCTTGCTGAACTCATTTGTGGTGGGATTTTTGGGGGAGGGTAGATTGCTTCAGATTTTTGGCAATTTGTTGTTTGTAGAGTCAGTTTTATTTCTTACTTTTCGATTTGCGTGCCTTTTCTTTTTTTGCCTTATTTCACTGGCTAGAACTCCAGGGCTGTGTTGCATTAAGAGTGGTGAGAGCAGGCACTTTTAACCTGTCCCCAACTTAGGGGACAGTACTCAAATCAGTCTCTGGCCATTAAGTCAGTGTTAGTGGTAGGATTTTTGTTGATGCTCTTCATTGAGGAAATTTACCTCCATTCTTATTTTTTGAGTTTGATTATGAAAGGATGGTAACTATTGTCAAATATTTTTTCATTGACGATATTAATTTAATATGGTGAGTTACAATAATCGAATTTCACATTTGAAACCAGCCTCTCATCCCTATATAATGAACCCCATTTGGTAACGATGCAGTGGTTTGTTTCATTTTTTAATTTTATTTGCTAATATTTTGTTAAGGATACTCGTGTATATTTCTAAGAGATCTGTTCCCCCTTTTTAGTATTGTCTTTGTCTGGTTTTGATATCAGGGTAATATTACCTTCATGAGATGAATTGAGAAGCATTCTTTGTCTGTTTTCACGATTTCTGAAAATCATGCAGAACTGGTGCTAACTCTTCTTCGAACGTTCGAGAGAATTCTCTAGTGAAATCATCTGGGCCTGGCCATTCCTCAGTAGGCAGAGAGCTATTCAAATGATCTGATTTGTATTGAGTGAGTTGTGGAGATTGTAGCTTTTTGAGAAATTAATCCATCTCATCTAAGTTGTCAAATTTACATGTGTAGAGTGGTTCACAGTACTGCCTCACTATCCTTGTGATGCCTGCAGGGTTTGCAGCAATGTTCAATTTCATTCTTGATATTTTTAATTGTGTCTTCTCTTTCTTTTGGGCATATTTGTATGGGTGGATTTGAGATACAGTTTGGAGGTAAGTCTTGCTAGAAATTTGTCAATTTTATCTATCTTGTGAAAAAAGTTCTTTGATTTTCCTCTATTGTTTACCTGCTTTTATTAATTTCTGCTCTTCTCTTTATTATTTCATTTATTCTGCCTGGTTAGGGTATGTATATTTTGCCCTTCTTTCTCCAGGTTTTTGAGGTAGCAGGCCTAGATTGTTGATTTGAAATCTCACCCTCCCTGTCCACTAGCTAATGCAAGCTCTTAGTCCCTACAAGATTTCCTGGCAGAACAACATTAGCTGGTGCAACAAATCTTGACATGCTGCCTTTTCATTTATTTTCATATTTTTATTATGGGTCGAAGTTCCCCTTTCTAGGAAACGCAGTCTTCTGCCGTCTCCTCAAATGGACCTTCCCCAAACAGTCTATCTAGATTTGTCCAGCCATAGCCTCCTCCCTGGGCACTGTTTAGGTCAATTCCCTCACTGCACTGACCATGACTGGCAATTATTTTACAAATTTGTTTAGTGGTTAGGACTGGTCCCTCCCAGTGGGATGTAAACACCATGGGGGAGCCTCTGTCATTTCTTGTCACCACTGCGTCCCCAGGCCTTGGTAAAGCGTAAGTTAAATAGTTGCTGAATGAATGAATGTGTGAAGGAAGGAAGGAGCACTGGCAGTCAGGGAGAAACTGACTGAAGGCCAAGGCTGCCCCTCTGTGGCCACAATGGAAAACTGTGGCTTCCCACACAAAGACCCCCTTAGGCCTCTGCTCCATATGCCCAGAACAGACCCTCTCACTCCCATCTCATACCCTTCCAGAGCCGAATTCAGTTGTTCATCCTCATCCACCAGGTCTCAAGAAGCCCTGGTATCTCCTGTGCAAAATCTGCTCCTTTCTCCAAGATGGACACAGGGAGTATCTCTCTAGATGGGTTTCCTTCCCCAAAAAAGCTGAGGAGCAAAGAGCATGCCAGCTTTTCCTGCCTGAAAGGAACCATGGTGAGAGACCCTGACCTTGGAGAGAGGCTAGACCCATCAGAGAGACTCCTCGTCCCAAGGGTCAAAGTCTAAGGCCCTGGGGGACTGGGGAAGGGTGAGAGATAAAGAGGGGAGGTATGGAAAGAGGTTCAGAAAGGCAGGAGCTCCTGCCAAGACCCCAGAGCCAGTTCATTAGAATCCTCAGCAGAGGCCCACGTGTCCTCTGTGCCATCCCCTCCTTCTGAGGTGCTCAGGGATCCCCAAAGGAGTGTAACAAGTGCTCTCAAAACGACAATGCTGGTACCAACAGGGTGCACACCATGCTCTCAGAGGCTGGGACCTGGAACATGAGGGATCAGCAAGTCCTTGCTCTGGGCTCTCATGTCTGATTTTAGGGCTAGGGTCCAAGCACCCCAAAGCCACAGGACAAAAGAAAGAAATCTTCCTAAAGCATTGCCTTTGCACAATGAACCTAAGTTCAGACATCTCCAAATTGGAACAAACGAAAGTACTGTACAGGAGGCAAGTGATTAAAAAATACAAACTTTCTGGGCATTTTAAAGGCCCACCCTCCAGGGGGCCTATGGGAGAAGTGGGAGACTTCTGAGATTTCATCTCTCCTGTTTAACATCTTTGGACACAAGTTGGCTCATCTCAGCTGTGCTAAAGGACAGATGAGGGGAAGGTTTCTGTCTACATTTGACCTTGAGAATTAAAGCACTCCCTGAGGCCAAGATGGGAAGAGCAAGAAACGGTAAGATTCTGGGGAACGAGGTCTGGGAGCTTGAGAAGCTCTCCCAGGCAACTGGCAAAGTCGCACGGGCCCCCCCATCCTGCTCTCAGTGCAGGGTCTTTGGAGAGATGTGAACTCTGCTCACTGGAACTGATTCCCTGGCCTGGCCTTTGGCTCACTCGATACACCCCAGAAAGGAAAGCAGGTGAGAAAAGGCCCCCCTTGGAGGGGTTTATTTACCTCCCTCTTGAGTGGGGCCACGTAGGCCCAGGAGTTGGTGGCAGGGTCGTAGCGCTCCACAGCATTCAGGTCGTTGTGGTAGTCACGGCCCGCCACCGCGTAGATGTACCCGCCCACGACGCACACACACAGGTCGGCGTGCTCCTGCTGCAGAGACTGGATCTGGAACCAGCGGTTGTGCCGTGGGTCGTACCTTGAGAGGACATGAGGACAGCACATCACTGACAGGTGAGATGGCACCTCCTACTCCACCCATGTCCCCTGAACCCTCCCCTGGCTGCCTCCACACACCAGCACACACCCACTCACAGCCATGGCGGCAGGCTGCTACACACCTGGGAGGTATGGCCAGAAGCCTCTTGGGTTCTTGCTTATGAAGCTGGCCCCTTTCCAGGTGTAACCTGCCGTATGGTGTCTAGCCAACCCTACTATCCACCCCAGGTTGCCCAAAGGCTGTTCTTATAGCCCTCTCTACCTCACCTGTTTCACCTCACGGTCCCCCATGGCCCTGCCCCAATTCATTCAGGACAGCCATGAATTATGGACAGGTACAACAGCCTCCCCGCCTCCAGCCAACACCAACACACCCTCATGCATGGTCTGCTCGAGCCTGCCATGTGCACAGTGTCCACACCGGCTCACCTTCATCACAGCCCGCCCCTTTATCCTTTTGTGTACTTCGAGCTTTGCCAACCTCTCTAGCTGGGTTATCCTCTCCACTTCTCAAGGTCTCCCTCTCTGAAGGAGTCGGGGTGCTATCCCTCACATTGGACTGTGGGCACCATGAGGGCAGGCCTGTCTGGGATTCCAGGCTGGAGGAGCACTGCTGGGCCAACCAGGACGGGGGGGCACAAGGAGAGAAAAGCCGACCTCTTCCGAGCTACTGCTGAGCCCCAGTACCATATAGGTTACCACCAACCTATAGGTTACCTGTTACCACCAACCTTTGTGAAAACAAAAAACAAAAAACAAAAACAAAACCCTAGTTTCCAAGCAGCAGCTTCATCCTGCACTCTGCACAGAGCCCATCCCACCCATTCTTCTGCCTTTAAAGGGCTCCAAATTCTCAACCCAGGTGATCTCAGCCACTCCAGAACAACTAACTATAACCCTTGCTTTCTCCTGAACTTTGGACCTACAACTGTCTCTCTCCATCACCACCTGGCTACTCACCTGTCCACTGACCCTACCCTCACCAGCAAAGCTCCTGCTCACACTCCAAAATCCTATCACTGAAGCTCAGGCCCCTCAAAGCCCAAGTCCACATCCACCCTTCCAACACTCATTGCCTGTCCCAGGCTTGTCCCACTTTCCAGGGGGCCTCCTACTGCCTCTACCCTTTCTACAGGCCCCATGTGGGGCACCCAAGCAGGGATGCTGTGAATACAGATAATCACAGAGCCTCAAGTGGCCAGGGCACCGTGAGCCTGAGGCCCAAAACCCACTCTTCTCCTGACCAGCATCCAGCACTTTTCCCTGGGCACATATCCACCCAGGCACCTGCATTTCAGCTCCTGCTCCTGGTGCTTCCTTGCTCAATGGCCAATGCACAGGTATAGCCTCTTTCACATAAGTTTTTATTTCTCCAAAGGAAAACCAACTCCAAAGAGGTTAAGTCAAACTTCAAGTGGTTCAGAAGAGAGTGAATAAAGTTTGCTTTGGCTTGTGCCACATACTGGTCAGTGAAGAGATAAGATGCATCCTTTACCCCAAAGCACAAGTTAGACTCATTCTGCAGCCATGCCTTCCTACCCATATCATTTGGCCAGCCCCTCCCTGCTCGCCAGGAATTCCAGGAACCAAGCTGTCTCAAAAGTCAGGGCCAACAGGAGAGACAGGTGCCTGGATCGCACACAGATGCAGGCTCGAATCCCAGCTCTGCCTGTGTAGCTGGGTGCATCCCAGCTTTTGCTCTTGGCATTCACTTAGTTTCCATACCTGTCCAACGAGTGATGTCATCTGCCTAGAAAAGCTATCATGAAGGATCATAAAGGACAACACGCATAAAAAGGATCCTTGTTAACCTGAGGGGAGTTTATAAAGAACTAAGGTTCATGTCTGTATTCCTAGACCTCAGCGTAGCACCTGATCAGGGCGGCCATACACTGCCTGCTGAATAAATTAAAAGGGTAAGATTACCAGCGGTGAAATCGATTCTTTACAAATATGTACTGCCCACCCACCGTGTATCAGGCACAGTGCTTAGCGTTGGGGATCCAGAGGGGAACTCAAGACGAGGGCCTTGTTTTCCATTTGAATAGGAAACAAGCTGAAGAGAACAGAGTGAATAAGTGCTCAGTGTAATTCAGGTAACACACACGCAAATAATAATAAGGTAAGAAGAGAGAGTGATCCATCTGCAGCAGGGGCTGGGGAGAGAAAATCTCTCTTATGGAGATTAAGAAGGGCCTCCTGAGAGGGTGGCATTCGAGAGACATGAATGACCAGGGACACAGGCAGGTGAAGGTTGGGAACAGGCAGCCAGGCCAGTCCAAGGTGCACCACTCAGAAGCCCTGTCGACTGGCTGGGATGGTGCCTTCTACTGCCTTTCCTACGCGCGACACTCATTCATGTACATGTCTCTTCTTTCCAATTTTTTTTTATTCCTCTTCTTTGACCGAGTGCACAACCTCAAGAGGAGTGCATATGGAGTGGCGAGGGAGGAAGGGGACATCTGTCTAGCCAGCCAGATCAGCCGAATCAACCCTGGTGACCAACGGGGTGACAGATGTTGCAGCTGGATTGCCCTCACATCCTCTACTTCCCTATTTTGGGCCAAGCTCAGGTCAGCATCTTCCGCTAGACTGAGACAAGAGCCTCCAGAGACTCTTACTTCCTTCTGGTCTCCTGCACGCACAGCTTCCCAGGCAGACTTCACTTAGATTTGTGGTTTCAGGTTTAAGGAAACACACACACACATACACATAAAGACAAACGCCATATATCAATAATTCAAAGGTAACCACAGTTTTGCTTATTTCTTATCTTCCCACTGTGTTCTACATCCCACATTTTCTTCTTTATTGGATTAATTTTCCACTTTGTCAGAATAAATCCCCAAGTAATTCTTTTTCTAATAAAAATAAGCTTATTTTGCATATAAGGATATAATCAGTTTTAATCACTTTAACGTAGACTTTGGATCATCCAACTGCAAACTCAGAAGTGAAATCTAGAGTCGGTACAATTATGTTCTGGGGTCCGTGTTAAATTCAGTAGACTTTTTCTTCAGTATTTCCACGACTTAAGCATTCCCATAACTATTAATGAAGTCCATTACAATTAACACATTTTTTGAAATGTACTTTAAAAGATTAATAGTCATGGGAATGCCTAAGGAAAAAAACAAGTTGTTATTCTCAGTAGGGTCAGGGCATGTGGCAACATGAGACCTACACGAGCTACTTACAAGGTAAGGTGCAGTCAGTTTTCTGTGGCCCAGAGTACGGCTATGAAAAGGCGCAAAAACAGGGAGTGGACAACACAGAGGCAATCAAAGAAATAAAAGAGAAACAGTGGTATCTCAGAGGTGAATACAATTTGCTCCAAACGAAGTAAATTTTTATATAGTTTTTGTACCAGTGCTTTAAGATATAACCTACTAAGTCCCTAGTACCTTAAAATGTAAAGCCTAATTTACTGCAAAATCTTGTTTCCTTATATTCTGAAAGCCTAAGGGTTATAAGGCTGGTGAAGTGTGGAAGGGAAGAAGGAAGAGAACCAAACTCTTAGATCACTCAAATTAAGATCCATCTTCCATCTGGCAGCTTTAAGAATCCACTGGGAGATGGAGGAAACATGCACTCTGTAGCGATGACAGACCCCAGGGCCCTCTCTGCCACCTCGCCAGATGCTCCGAACCCGAGTCCCTCAGCGATGCCCATTCCCTTCAGGAAAGTCTCACAACCTTACCAGCTACAGTGATCCAACTTCCTGATTGGAATTTGAGGCTGTGATTACCAATCACAGAGGCTGATACTAGCATTTTCCAGGGTCTGACTTGGGTCTCATAGCACCTACTTAAGAAGGGAAATTTAACCTTGGCCGGGTAGCTCAGGTAATTAGAGCATCATTCTGCTATGCCAAGGTTGTGGGTTCCATGCCCAGTTAGGGCATATACAAGAAGCAACAACCAATGAATGTAAAAACCAACATTTTCTCTCGAAAATCAATAAACTTAAAAACAATTTTTTTTAAATGGAAAGGAAAATCTAGACCAGCCTCGTGTGAAACTGCATGTAATAGGACAGACTACGGGCCAGCAGCATCCTGTCACTCTGAAGCCTCCCTGCAGGCAAACAACCACCCTATCATGTGCTGAGGGCCAGAGACCACAATACTCTGGAGACATCTGCTTTACAGGTTTGTGGGTTGCTCAGCAGGGAGGGAGAGAGATCTGGCCTTGCTTCTCCAACTGGGAAGGTGAGTTCCCTAAAAAAGAAACTTTCGCGGCTTGCCTGGAGGGAGGCTTGATCCGGGTGCTGTCACACCCACTGAGGAGGGCATCTGATACGAGTGAAGGTAACGTTTCCTCCTTTTGGAATCTGCTGTGCTCCTGTTTGACCACATGCTGCCAGGCTTTGGGTCTGATCAGGTTCACAAAGATTATCACTTCCTGGAGCCAGGAAAGAGCTGGCTGAGGAATGGTTAACTCTTCCTCAGTCCTTGTCACTATGCTTCTGAGAGTCATAGCCAGGCCAGACCCCACCCCTACCCCAGAATATAAAAATCATAGACATGAACTTGGTCTGCACCTAGCTCGCAGATGCCAGAAACAATTAGTAATCTCTCTCTCTCTGCCTCTCTCTGCAGTGCCATCTTTCAGCTTGTGCAGGGCAAAAACTTCCCGCAGGCACCAAACCCCAAGAAATCAAACCAAACTACAGTGGAGGGGGCTCTGGAAACATGATGGCGTGGAGGGTCGGAGAGTTGATATAAGGCTCAGCAATGCCTGTCAGCCTTTCCTGTTCCCCTGGGGGAGGACACACTTGGGAGAGCAGCAGCAACAGAAGCCATACTCCACCACTGGCTTGTGGTCAGAAGAGCAAAGCAGATAGGCAAAGGGAAGCTGGGATGAGACGTGTCAAAGTTCCAGAATGGGCAAGAGGGAAGTAGCAGCTGCCTGTCCAGTGCTCCCTGCTCCTAGGTCCCCTCCGTCTGAGGCCCAACTATCCTTTGTGCCACGGGCTCCCCTCCTCTGTGCTCAGCCAAGTGCAGAGTCACAACCCAGCCCCTCACTGACAAGAGAGCAGGCTGTGATCCAGGGTGAGTGTACTTTTGAGACTGGGACAAGAGAGAAAGAAAACATTCCAGGTCCCCTTTTATGCCAATGCCATCTACATTATCCAAAATTCACCTGGAATTAGTTCCACAAACAGGGTTATGCCAACAAGCCAAGATTAACATAAATGGCTGATTGCCTTCGTCCATGGTGATGTGCCCACACAGAACCTACTCCCTAAACAGCCCTAAGCCCACGACTCCTTCACTACAGCATAACCCGCAGACAGAGGTACTGCCAGGGACCCTTTCTTACCTCCAGCATCGGGATTCAGCACGGAATCCCTGGACGTTGTTGTCTCCCCCGATCAGGTACACAAAGTTGTTGAGCACCGCGATGCCCTGGTTGGACATGCGGGGGGCCAGAGAGGCAGTGAAGTGCTTCCACTCTCCCAGCAGGGGGTTTAGGTATTTGGCCTGGTCACTGAGGACAGTGGATGGTGTAGAGTGAATGCCCCCGAAGCCCACAACGCACTGGAAGTCCGACCGAAGCTCCGTGTGTGGGCCCTGCAGGCTGGGCTGCAGGCTCTCGTTCCGGTGGTACATGAGAGCATTAGCTACTATGTCTCTCAGTGGGCTGGGGTCCAGCTTGTCGTGAAGCCGCTGGAGGACCTCGACTTCCATTAGGGGAAACCGCACAGTCTCAAGAAGCTTGGGGGGCTCATGCAGTGAGATCTGGTCTGCCTGCACCTGCTCCGGGGTGTAATGGTAGAGAAGGGCGCCCTCGTACACCTCAGTCTCACAGGAGACCTCCAGGCGGTTGCTACTGAGGAGGGAGTAGACCTTCTCCAGGGGAAGCTGGCGGTACTTATCAGTCCTCGAGAAGGCCACAAAGTTTTTGAGGATGTAGGTGTCCAGCTGCTTGGTCAGGCGGCTCAAGTCAAATAGCTCTGCCAGCCGGTAGACATCAAGGATGTTCTCCTCATCTACCCAGGACATGAGGAAATCACAGCAGAAATGGATGATTTCTGGGATCTGTGAAGAAAACAAGACCCACTCATGCCTGGGAAATGGTGTCTGGGCACAGAAGGCAGCCGTGGCAGTTACATGGCTTACGAGGCTGTCCTCTGAGGCAGAGCCCCCTCAACCATCCCCAAACTTCCTTACAACAGAGGCTGGTGCAGCCTCTTTCCCCAACACCAAAGACAAGTGGGGCTCACTGCAGGAGGACTGGGTTTTAAATCCTCACTCATAAGTGATCTGTGGAATGCTCCTAAGCTGAGACTAAGTTTCCTCATCTATAAAACAAAGATAAAGTGGAGAGGAATAATGACAAATGACGTCATGCACAGGAACTCCCTGGCACAGAGCGAACCCCTAATACAGAACAATTGCCTTTTAGATCAAAAGTACTAGATCTCCAGAGAAGCTGGAAGCTGCACAATGGCCACCATGTCAGCTGTCCCTGGTTTGGAATGCACCCGAGACCCCCACCCTGACTCCCAGCTCTCTAGAGCTTCAGGCTCAGAGAACTCATCCCTTGCCCCAAGAGAAAGACCCAAGCTACCCCTACATTCCTAACAACCACCAGCAGGGCATTCCTAGACACTCACCCAGCACCCAACCTGGGACCCGCCTCAGAGTTCTCAAAAAGCTGAAAGCTATCCAGCTGGGGCAGAGGCCTACTCAACTCAATATCAAGGGGGCTCCGAAGTGGCCCACGCCTTTCCTTCCCCAACTGTGCAGAAGACCCAGGGGGTTGGAGGGAGGGCAAGAGAGAGGACACTTAGGTGGGAGCTGAGAATTGGGCCACAGGGCTAAAGGGAACCCTGTGATTACACCACCAAAGAACAGCAGGATATACAAGACAGAGGGTAGGGCTCTAGGGGAAGCTGCCAAGGTACTGCTAAATTCTTTAGAAAAACAGGATTTGGGGATTTCTCTAAAAACAGGAATACCTCACTAAGTCAGCATAATCGACAAATTGACAAGTGCCCACAGAATAATTCTGCCAGCATGTGAAGCTTAAAAATAAACATTTAAAATAATTGCATTTTGTCTGATCCAAGACATTTAGTACTTGCCAGGTGGGTATGTTAAGGGGCTGAATGGAAACCCATGAAGTGCCAGGCACATATTTCCTCACATGAAGTATCCCCAGAGTGCTTTGCTAGGTCCCGAAAGTCTTCCCTTGACCATCTGTTTTCTCCCTTGGCCTGCACACTTCTGCCTTGCTTCTTCTTCCTAAAATAATGCTTTTTAGATTTTTTTTAAAAAGATTTTATTTATTTATTTTTAGAGGGGAAGGGAGAGAGAAAGAGAGGGAGAGAAACATCAACGTGTAGTTGTCTCTCCGCACCCCCTACTGGGGATCTGGCCCTCAACCCAGTCACATACCCTGACTGGGAATCAAACTGGCGACCCTTTGGTTTGAAGGCCAGCACTCGAGCCACTGAGCCACACCAGCCAGGGCTAAAATACCACTTCTCATTTGTTGTGGGCAGGACACCTAGGACCAGGTTCTGGGTAGAAGGTGAAAGCAAACTGCCCTCAGTGGGCCTGGGGAAGCAGCTCCCGAAGAACCAAAGCCTCTCACACAAGGACCGTGTTGCCTTCTTCCCGTCCTTGTCAGAGCACTGGACCCTCCGCCAGGTGGAATCTCACAAAGGAATCACCTCAAGCCCACCCCACGAGAGGCTCAGCGAACAGAACTGGTCTGCTGGGGATGACTCAGTGGAAGAGGTCTTGCTGAGATTCATCAGGTTCCTGCAGACACCATCAAGAATCTAGCACAGGGCATAGCATATAGGCGTAGGGGAAGCCACCAAGAGCTAGTGGCTACATGAACAAACATGATCTGATGAGCCTATTGACTTGGAACTGTCGTGCCAAGTAAAACCTGCTTTAAAAACCATCACTGCATAAAAGCCTAACATATTAAAAATAAAACAAACAGGACTGGGCTGCTCAATGTGAAGTGGGGGCTCCCTCTGCTATGCTGTTCCCCAGAATGACCTGGAAGGTGCTGAGGAGCACTGGCCAAACCTCTGCCGTATGTGACCTGGGGAGAGAGCAGGTCTCTGAGCTCTCTGAGCTGATGGGTGGAAAAGGGAAAGTGGTCTTTTGAAAGGTGGTTTGGTACTGGTGTACATGTGATGGGTGTGCAGAGAAGAGAAGGCAGGGGCCAGCTGGAAGGTGTAAATGGAGGGCAAAGATGAGGACATGGAAATAGAACAGTAATGTTTATTAGGATGACCCGTGTAAACTTGGACACAGGGAATGGAGATGAAAGGGCTCAAAGAGACATGGAGGCTTGGCAGAATGGTCATGGGACACAGTACAGGGAAGTGGGGAGAGGAGCGTACAGCAGGGAGGAGACAATGCTGGCAGTGAGTCCCTGGGTGGAGAGCTGAATATGGGACTCAGGTGTTGCAAGAACCTGATGAGTTTCCAAAGCAAAAATAACAAGGATGTGGGGACAGAAGAATCTCTGAATAAAAGAAGGCAGGGAAATTCTTCTGTCATAAAGGCTACCCTGGCTCATGTCCACCTACCTATCATGCACAGCCAGACAAGAGTTACTTAAACCAACCACCAAGCAGGAGTTGAGCACCTACCTCGTACCACCCTGGAGGTAATGGCACAGGAAGCACACAGTGGGCGTCCAGATGCCCTGAACAGATTGGTTGATCTGTGACTTGACTTTTCCCTGACTGCCCCAAATGTGCTTTAATGTGAAAAAAAGTCAGGATCATGAATTCAGTGTATCTGTCTGATGGACAGCCCTTAAGAGCAAAGCATGTGCAGGCTCAGCCTGTGTAACTTCGCCAACATTGTCAAGAGTCAATTCAGTCTTTTAAAACTTAAGCTGCTCTTATCAAAGCCTTGGGAAACTTTTTGAGTTCTGTAGGAAAATAACTATTTAAAGTTCAATAACAAAGGGAAAAGCAGTTTCAGAGATCAATGAGACTAAGGGAGAAGACAGGCAGAAAGGGCCTAAGTGGCCACACTGGGGAAAGTTCAACTACACCCAATGCCAGCACCCACAAGATGCCACGGGCTTGACTTCGGCCACTTGTTTACATGCAGGACCGTTTAGTAGCAGGGAGACCCAGAAAGAGGAAAAGGAACCAGCAGAAAAGCAGAGGGCAAAGGTAGAGGAGGAAGCTGAATCTGAAAACCTTCAGAGCAGCTCTGCTTCAGTGTCCAGAGCTGGCCAAGCCAAGCACGCCCTGGGAGTCTCCACCCCACTCCATAGTCTCTCCTATCCTCGCTGACTGACCCACCCTCATGCCACTGCCCAGCAGGCACTGAGGGAAACCACACCTAGGAATGGGTGTGCTTCGATCCAATGAAGTAAGCCTCACCTGAAGCTGGCAGGCGGCAACCAGCGTCTCCTGGACATTGCTCAGGCTGAGCTCCAGCTCGGAAGTGTATATGAAGTGCAGAATTTGGCACATGGCATTATAGGATACGCCGTGGATTAGGACCTCTTCCTGCTCCATTTCCTTCAATCCCCCAGCAAACATACCTCTGCAAAGTGAAGACACAAGACAGTGGAGTTATACTAATTGGGACACCAGCCCAGGCTACAAAGGGCACAAGCATCTGGAGCATGGAGCTGGCTGACTGAGCATTAGTGTGTGACAGGACGCTGGCTCAATCTGAGCACCGAGTCATCCCACAAAAGGCACCCACAAACTCCTGACCAAGTCTGGGTAGCCATCCTAGAAAATGCTTGTCTCCTGTTTCATGTGCCCCAGGGAGTAACACGTGAGCCTCCTGGAGGCAGAGATCACGTCTGGCTTGCTTTCTGCTGCATCCTAGTATGCTTCCTGGATCACAGCAGCAGCCCAAAGCATGTTATGAAAGAATGAATGAATGAATGAATGGATGGATGGGAAACAGTAAGCCATTCCAGCCAGTATACATTTACTGGGCACCTACCAAATGCCGGGTACCATTCAAGAACAGAAGTAGTACCAAGTAATGTGCAAGATTCCTATACACACAGAGTTTAAAGCTAGGGAAGAAGACAAACAATAAAGAAACAAGGTATTTCAAAATGATGCAAAGAGTTTGACAGGGCAATGGATGGAGGAGAGCATGGCTGGGGAAGCACAGTGGGTGGAGAGCAATGGGGGGCAGGGAGGTTCACACTGAGGAACTGAGATGAGACCGAGAGGCACCTCACCAGGCAGGGGAGAATGTTCCATGTAGAGATGAACACCCAGGCGAGAACAAGTTTGGCACACAAGCAGCCAGGGCAAAGAGGAAGTGAGCTGAATGTACGACACAGGGCCAGGTCTTGCTACCCGCAGGGTAGGGTAGAGTCTGGACTGAAATCCAAGCACAATTGAGATGCTATGGGGGAATTTTATACTGGAAGGTGATGTGAGCTGACTGACTCTTCAAATTTGGGTGCTACTGGTCAGAGTGGAAGGGCTAAGAAGAGGCGAGAAGGTTCCTCCAAGCCTGCCAAGAGCCACGTGGCTGGAGAGCTATAGTTGAAACTACTCTGAAAGGGATTGGAGAGAACATGCTGACAGATGGAATCTAGCAGAGCAGAGAAAGAATCAGGCTCTTGACTGGGGCCATGGTGCAGCCAGCTGGGCAGGTAGGGACTTGAGAGAAACAGGGTCAGAGAGGGTAGTGGGAGTCCCACTGTGGCGCCATCAGTGTGCTATACCCCCCAAGGCATCCTAGTAGAGAGCTAGTTGTTCGGAAGGAAGAAGCTGGTGGTCATGGTAGGAATCAGGGCTAAAATACGGCAGTCAGTAACACAGAGATAATAGAGTAGCTATTTTTTACAGCTTGTTTATTTTTCCACTAGGTTAATACACATATGTAGCAGGAGACTTAAAATATACGAAAGGGTAAAAGTCTCTTCCCTCCTCTGAGCCAGGCCCTCAGTTCCCCTCCCCAGGGCGGCACTATCACCAGAGGCAGTCCACATATCTGCACTATTCTGACTTAACACACCTTGGACATGGATCCTTATCGGTATAATAGTGCTGCCCCTGTAAAGGTTATCATAATTGATTAAACCCACTCTTGCTGGGGCGCACTTGGATTACTTCTAGTTCCCCATTTTTTCACCCAGTGGATGGTCCTATCCCCACAACATTTTGCTTATGTGACTGCAAGGATAAATTCTCACAAAAGCAATTGCTGGGACAAAGGCTTTATATACATGTACACTTGGATGGTACTGCCCACACGCTATCAACTTTGTAAAGGAGAAACCTTATAACCAATGGGATAGATAATCTCATCAAATGTTTCAGAGCCATTTCTATATTCTTTTCTGAATAGTCCAGATTCTTTGCCCATTTTCTATTAGACTATGTCTCATTCATTTGTAGCAATCATTTTTGGATGAGTTGAATTTCTTTTTTCTACTTGAAAATTTTTCACTAAAAAAAAAAAAAAAGGTTTTATTTATTTATTTTTCAGAGAGAGGAGAAGGGAGGGAAAAAAGAGGAAGAGAAACATCAATGTGTGGTTGCCTCTCACACATCCCTTACTGGGGACGTGGCCCTCAACCCAGGCACGTGCCCTGAGGGGAATGAAACCTGTGACCCTTTGGTTTGCAGGCTGGTACTCAAACCAATGAGCCACACCAGTCAGGGCAAACTTTTTGATTTTATAATATGTGTTCATATAGGCAGGGCCAGCCCCCTTTCATTACCTTAGTTTTCCACAATTTACTGGTCACTGCTTGTCTTCAACTTGAACTTTAGAATCAGTTTGTGCAATTCCCCCTAGTAAACCCTCTCGGTATTTTTACCGGAAACATGCTAAGTATCTAGGTGGACACAGACAGAGCCAGCATCTCTGTAATGCACAGAGCAGGCCTGTCGCTAACAGCCAGCCAGCCTCTGACTGTCTTCGGAGGTTTTGCACGGCACCACCCCACAGACCTGGCATACACGTCACGTTTATTCCCATTTTACTCCACGTGCGGCCACCCAGGGCGCTTTCCCATACTCCAACGTACTCTCAAGGAGACGATAAACTCCAGAGGGTCAAAGGCTGAAACCCAAGGGATGACAGGTGTGAGCCAGGAGGTACACGGCCAGGCAAGGGCACAGAGGGCGGTGACTCTACACATCACATAGCTGTGTGGACCATACGTATACAATTCAAATCATCTGGCCTCGGCTTCCGCACCCACAGGGACCATATATCTTTTTTTTTTTTTTTAGCCTTTTAATTATTTTTATTACTCAAAAAGCTTCATTTTTTTATTTAGCTTTCTGACTCTGTGCTTGTGCCTTCAATACTTTCACAACAATTTTCTGCTCCTCAATAAGGAAAGCACGCTTGATCCTGTCATGGACACATTTAGCACACATGGATCCACCATAGGCTCTGCTGACATGTTTTTTTGTTTTGGACAACCTCATGAGAACTTTAGGTCTCACAGCACGAACTCCACGAAGTCTGCCTGGGCACACGCCACATGCAGATTTTGGTGCTTTCCCAACCTTTTTGGTATAAAGGTAAACAATTCTATTGCCAGGGGTTCGGGACAGCCTCGTTTTGTTGGAGGCTGTATTGTAGGACAGCCTCCGACGGTATGTCAAACGCTGGACCATTGTGAAAACCTGATGACAACGTTCCCGGAAGAAGGGGGACCATATATCTTGAGCAGTGACCAGGGCTTATGTATGTGAGCTTCCAGCCAGCACTGCAAGAACATAATGAGGAAGGGGGGCGGGGAGAGATGTGGCACTAAAAGACTAAGAAATGAAATGTCAAAATGTCTTTTTTTTAATTTATATTTTATTTATTTTTAGAGAGGGGAAGGGAGGGAGAAAGAGAGAGAGAGAAACATCAATGTGTGGTTGCCTCTCATGGGGCCCCCACTGGGGACCTGGCTTGCAACCCAGGCATGTGCCCTGACTGGGAATCGAACTGGCGACCCTTTGGTTTGCAACCCGCACTCAATCTACTGAGCTATGCCAGCCAGAGCTTCAAAATATCTTTTAAAAAATGTATGCCTGGCTGGTATAGCTCAGTGGATTGAGCATGGGCCTGCGAACCACACGATCGAGGTTCAATTCCCAGTCAGGGCACATGCCTGGGTTGCAGGCTGGTTCCCTGCAGGCCAGTTCCCCGCAGGGGATGCATGAAAGGCAACCATACATTGATGTTTCTCTCCCTCTCTCCTTCCCTTCCCCTCTAAAGATAAATAAATAAAATCTTAAAAAATAAAAATGTATGTGTGTGTAGAGAGAGGGCAAATATGCTAAAATGTTAACAATTGGCATTTAGGTGTTTACAATACTATTCTTTCACCTTTCTCACAAATTTGGTATTTTTCAAAATGAAATGTTGTGAAGCCAGAGTAAAGTTGAAAGAAAATCTGTTTTATACCAAGATATTATACTTATAGCAGAAAATTCATTTTATAAAGTATAATATTACAAGTAAAGCCAAGTATATCATCTTTAAAAGAATAGAGAACATGGCCTGGAGATGAACAGCTAAAAGAAAAACAAACCTGAAGCCCCCTTCTTCTCTCTTGCTACTGACCAAGTCGCCAAACAAGCAGTGGGAGCAGCTTAGGGTGCGGGGGGTACCTGGCAGCTTCTGGCTGGTTCCTCCGGCCCAGTCATGTCAATAGCAACCCATCTGTCCATTGGAGCCAGGATAACCTATTATTTTCCTTATGAGAACAGGTGTCTGAAACTCACCTGAAGTAATCACAGGATGCAGCCAGCAGGATGCGATGGGCTTCAATGTGTCTCCCCTCCACCACCAGGACGACATCGAAGAGGATGCCGCTGTCCCGAAGAGCCAGTAGCCCCCGGAGCAGGGCCTGGGAATGCTGTGTACTTCGGTAGGTGTTGTTGACACAGTGTGGGGGAGAGGGCTGCGCGGGCAATTTGCACAGCTGGGTGAACTCCTGCTCCTCTGCCATTCTGACCGCTGTACCAGACCTCACCACCTTGGCCGTCAGCTGGCAAGACAGAGGGGATAAGGAATGAGCCAGGGAGGAATGAGCCAGCTCTGCTCCCATTGGCACCTGGGGATTGCTCACTGAGCTCCTTTTCCTCCATCCAGCTTATCTGTGCTTTCTGTGTTCTTAATTCTCTCTCTCCTCCCACCACCTGTCCAGACTTTGAGACCTTCTTTCTGATGACCTATGTCCCTTCATTGCCAAGAGTCTTTGTCCCACTTATCTCCTTCAGCACTGCTGTAAAGTGGAAGGGTTCTGGAGACATACCAATCTAAACTGAAGCTCCTGCCACCCCATGGACTCACCAAATGATCAACCTGAGCCTCAGGGTCCTCAAATGAAAAAAGGGAAATAGTAAAAGAGGAACATAAAGCATCTGCACAGACCAGGTTCTCAAGAGCTCTTCCTCTCTCCCACTGAGAAAGAACAAAACTGAGTTTCTCCAGGCAAAACTGAATGTATAACAATTACAACAGGCACTTGGTTCTCTAGTGAGGCACCCTCCCTATATTTGTCCTAGGACCATTAAAGTGGCTCGTATCACCTTGAAGGAGGTGGGATCTTTGCCAAAAATGGCTCATGTGACCGACTGCTCTGTTTTCTCTTGTAATGCCAGGAACATAAAGGTAGTTATTGTAACATCAATCTCTCTCCCAATCTTCTTACTAAGTGTACGGCTTCAAATAAGTGACTTCTCTTTGAGCCTATTTGCTCCTCCACAAGATGGGGATAATCACAGCATCTACCTCACTGAGATGTTATGTGTAGGTGAATTATATCCTGAATACAACACATAGGTACAAGGCCTTAGCAAAGTGCCCTGCATGTAGTAAGTGCTCAATAAAGGTAGTGGTTATTTTTTAAAATTGCAACAGGCTTGAATGGTGGTCAGGAGTCCCAGGGAAGGGTCCGGGACCTGTCTTCTTTACCAAGATTCTGAGATTCAAGATCATCAGCATCATCTTTTAAATTCAAGGTTACCATGTAATGTTTGAATCAACATATTTAAAAAAACGGATTTGACTAGGAGGTTCAGAAACTAATCAGTAAAACAAACCTACTTCAAACACTTTGGCCACACACTCCAAACCAACCAGAAGTGACCATGCACAGCTGGCTGCTCCAGATCAGGGAGCCGCCTGTCTTGCACCACATGGTGTAGCCAAGCTTTGCACTCTCCAGACCACAGCGCAGCCAGCTAGCCAGCAGCAGAGAGGGGTCACCTGTCACAGGGCCTTGAACATCTCTGCCTTCCTCATCTCCAGCTACTCCACTATCCCCTCTGCTAAACGTTTCTTCTCCAATTCCCTACTGCATCTCTACAAGAGAAAATGATACAAAATTTGCCAAAAAGAAGAGGCCCTTGTTAACTGCTGGGGCTCCCCCATTGCTTCCTCCTCTTCTCCCAGAACTTGCTTCCCATACATACAACATGCTCAATTCTCTGTGCTGGCCTCTCAGTAGGCCTCTGACCACCCACTCCACCTTCCTCCCCACCCTTGCTGACCCACCTTTCTTGCCTGGAAATTCTGCCCTAATAGCAACTCCTTTCCTCTTTTCTGACCTCTTCCCTTCAGCCAACACACCCTGCACAAGCCCACCCCTCTCTCCCAAGAGTCTGCCCTGCATTCCCAATCACACCTCCAATTCAGTTTCTAATCCAGCCAGCAGCCCTCCCAACTGGTCTGGTTTTGTTACTGGTACAGCCATCATTTCCATGTCAGAAACCTCATGGGCTCAATGATCTCTTTTCCCGTCTAAGACACAAGGACAGCCCTTGCATCCTGTCAGACCCTTTAATGCCATGCCTCCATCCCAGATGGCCGTCCCTTTGTTCCTCCACAGCCACCACAGCAATGACACCCAACTGGTTTCCTACCAACTGCCATATCCTCCCCAGCTCCTCAAAATGTCCCATAAGCATGCCACCTGATTTCTCAAATGCTGGCTCCCTACCACCTACTTGGGGCTCCACGTGATATGGCTCAAAACACTCCTGCCCCTGTTCCCTGTCACTAGCAGTGATTCCACAGAACACTAGACAACGATGAAAATTAGCAGGAGAACACAAACTACAGTCAACGTGGAGAAATGTCAAAAGCTGCACCAAAAAAAGAACAGTACATTGCAGAATATGTGTAGTACAATTTCCTTTACCAAAAGTTTGAAAACAGCCCTGGTTGGTGTGGCTCAGTGAACTGAGCACTGGCCTGTGAACCAAAGGGTCACGGGTTCAATTCCCAGTCAGGGCACATGCCTGGGTCGTGGGCCAGGTCACCAGTAGGGGGCACATGAGGGGCAATCACACATTGATGGTTCTCTTCCTCTTACTCCCTCCCATCCCCTCTAAAACAAAATAAATAAAATCTTTCAAAAAAAAAAGTTTGAAAACACATACAGCACTACTGTCCAATACTTCTTATAGATAGATGTTATGACATAAAACAGTATAGACACTTAATGAGAATTCAGGGTCATGATTATCTCCAGGAAAGAAAAAGAAAATGTTTTTCTTAAAAAAAAAAAAAAAGAAAACAATAGGATATGATAGGGAGAGGCGGTATGTTATTATCTGCACTTTATCTGTTATTGTGAAATATTTAATCACTGAATTCTGAAACCTGTTTTTGAATATGTAATATTCATGTGATTCAAATTCGAAAGGCACAAAATGGTACAGTATATTTTGAAATTTAAATTTTCTTCCCACGTTAGGCTCTACCAGATCCTCTCCCAGAGGAAACTACAATTCTTTCCCCAATGCCCTTCCAGATGGTACCTATGGAGTCACAGAATCTGTCACTCCACACCCCGCCTTTTAATTAGCTTTTGTATATAACTTCATATACCTCCCACAGTCCATTGTATGGATAACCATATTTTACGGCACATCTGGGTTTTCTGTTTACTATTGTAGACAATTTGCATTGAAAATCACTGAGATGTGCCATATATGCAATAGTTACCTGAGGAAAATTTCCTAGATACAGAACTGCTGAATCATTTTAATTTTAGTATATGTCATTTTAATGAATATTGCCAAAATGCCCTCCACAGAAAAGGAACCAATTTATTTCACACCAGCAAAAGTATGAGAATCTGATTCCAATTTCTCACCAGTGGTGTTTCTTTTCTTTTCTTTTTAATCCTCACTCAGACATTTTTTTCCATTGCTTTTAGAGAGGAACACTGATGAGAGAAGCAGGGGTAGGTTGCCTGTCATACAGGGATCATACTCACCTAGACTGGGGATGAACCCACAGCCTAGGTTACGTGCCCTGACCAGGAACTGAACCTGCAACCTTGGGACTATACTCCAACAACTAAGCCACACCAGCCAGGGCCAATAGTGTTCCTTTTTAATCTTTGCTGACTTCAAAGTTGAAAAACAGCATCCCACAGTGTAACTATATTTTGATAATTTTCACAAAATCATAAAAAACTTAAGTCAAATGCAGTTCATCCTTTGTGATCCCTTCTCCATACCTGTTTTTCTGAAATAAAGTTCTTAAGATCTCACTCAGTGGCACCTCTGCTTCTCTTATTCATTTTACAGGAGTTCCTAGATCAGGAAGCCTTTCTTCCCTAGATTATAGAAGTTCCTCCTGCCCCACAACATTCTAGTCATCAGGAGCAAGGACCTCCACTGTGCTGTTCGGAGCTGCAGAGGGGAGCAGAAAGCTTTATGTCCCAAGTAGGTACAAGCTGAAGGACATAAAACAAGTTTTTATGAACTCATAACTGAGTCAAAAGCATTTTTGAAATTTTTTCAACTCAAACTATCTACTATTGAATAGGCACCTACTCCTCTGTAGGGCCCCCAAACAGCTCCTGCCCTCAAATAACCTCATCCCTTCACAGCATGAAGCCAGGTCTGCAACAAAGGGAAAGAGGCAGCTCAGGAAGAGGAGAGGGGAGAGGGGAGAGCAGGTCCTAATTTCCAGACGAGGAAGCCTTCCTCCGGGTGCTGACTCCACGGCGCTCTGGAATGTGGCTCATCCCAGAAAGCAGAGTTGGAGCATCCAGACGCGCCAAACCTGCGGCCCTGACCCGGCGCGAGAGAGGCCCCGGGGAGGAGCCCAAGAAGGTGGTGGCCCCGAGGCTCCAGTCCGCCCAGGACTGGAAATAGTCAGAACTGGCCGCCGCCGTTTGAGAACCGGAGATCGCCCTGACAGCGCGATCTCCGGCTTCTCGCTAAAAACAGCGCGAGCTGGGGAGGCTGGGCTCCCTGGGCTACAGCCCCCCAGGAATCTCTACGCTCGGCCCGGGCGCGCGGCTGAGGAAACTGAGGCTCGCAGGCCGAGATCCAAGGTCACACCAGGTGGCGGTAGTCCAGACCGACCCCGCCTGCCTGTTGCAGGACGCGCCCGCGCAGCGCCGAGGGTCGCCGCCGTAAAGGCCGCGCCCGGACCCACCGGGGGCCACAGGGCCCACGAGGGGCCAAGAAGGCCCGAGAGCCCTGCTGCAGAGAGGAGGACCCGGACCTCAGCAAGCGCTCGCCCCAGCCCCCGCCGCACCCGGGGGTCCAGCGCGCTGCGCTCCGGCCACGTCAGGCCCGGGGCTTTTCTCAGGCCGCCGCCCCCACGCCTCCCGTCCGCGCCCGCCCCCGCATCGCCCAGACCCCCGCACTGCTCGCAGGGGCCCCGCGTCCTCACCTTGCACCAGCCCCCTCAGCCCGCGCTTTCCCTCTCCCTTCCCGCTCCGCCCGCGCCTCGCAGCTCACCTGGAGCGGCTGTAAGCCGAGGCCGCACTCGCGGGAGGCGGGGGCGAGCGCGCGGCCGCGGGGCGGGGCTTCGACTGCCTCACGTGGTCGCGATGCGCAGGCGCGGGCCTGGGGAGGATCAAGGCTGGGGTCTCCGGGTGGTGGGTCCTGGGTGTGGCCTGAGACCGAGGGGAGGGGCGCGACCTGCAGCCCCCCTTTCTCTAGGGCGGCTCCGGGCGCAGCTCAGCGGAAGAGAGTCCCGCCGCTGGGTGACCGTGCGTCTCCTCACCTGGCACAGCGCAAGGCACACGGCGGGGCTGAAGGAATGAATGAGAGGGAATGCCTTTACGTGAGGGTCGAACCCTGTAAACCTATTTCCTCCGTCCTTCCCCGGTTGCTCCCTCACTCCTTCGTTCCCTGTCTCCCTTTTTTTCTCTCTCTTTTCCCACTTATTACCTCCTTATTCATTCCCTCCCTTATTTATTCTCTTTATTTCTTCCTCATTCCCTTCTCTAGTTTATTCATTCTCTCTTATTCCGTCCTTTATTCCCTTCCTACTCCCCTTCCTCACTTATTCGCTCCCTCCTTCTCTGAGTCGGGTAAATTAACTTTGACTGTTGATCTCCTGCCCCCTGCTGGACGTTGAGAGGCCATAAACAAAGACGGTGTGAACAGGTGTTTTCCTGTTTACTGAGATCTGGTGTAAATCCAATTCGCCGCTCAAAGTCTTTGTCCCGGCAGCCTCTAGGCATTCGTTTTTCTCCGCCTCCTCTCCGAGAGGATCCCTTCCTCCAAGGCTCATCTGTAATGGGCGTGTCCAGAGGTTAGAGCCTGGAGAGACCTGTGATATAGATAAGGCCAGGGTGTGCTATTAAGTCGATGTAGAAGAGAAAGACAGTAAATGAAAGAGAAGCACTCTTTTGGCCGAGTCCCGAGAGCTGCCCTCGAGTCCAGACAAGGGGCAGGATGGAGGGTCAGCCTCTGAGAATAGAGGGTCCCAGTGGGAGTGGGCTTCAGCGAAGGCTCTCTGGAAAAGGTGACACTCCCCCACACACTTCAGCTGTGTAACAGATGAGGACTTTTTTGGGGGGGGAGGAGGGACAATCTTCCTCCATTAGAAACACCGACCAGTAGCCTCTTGTGCTGTGTGAAGGGACATGGGTGGTGGGGAGCCTGGAAAAGACTGCCTCACACACTCCAGACTTGATTTCTGCTTCACTTCGTTGACTGCAGAAGATTTAAGGGTTTATTTTATTTAGTGAAACATTCATTTGTAAGTGAATCTTTAGTGAAGGCGTCCTGAGTGTTTGTGGGGAAAGGAAGGCTAGCAAATGGACTAGATGAGGACTTTTGGGAAGTGGGAAAAGCATTTCAGGAATGGGACTGTCAGCAAGGCGGTGGAGGTGCGATCCAAGGAAGTGAGTGGTCAAGAGGCTGCCAGGAGTTTCTGAGTCTGAAGGGAAAGTTGAGGACCAGACCCTGCCTTCTGGAGGTGCATGTGTTGCTGAGGGCAGGCAGGTGCCAGTGCAGGTTGCAGAGCCTAGAGAGTGGGAGGAAGTGGAGCAGGGGACAGCAGGGAACTTGTTGCCTCTGGTTGGTAGGGAGTGAGGACAGAGGGTTGACTGGAGATCTGGAAAGGAGGCAGGTTCCCCAGTACACGAGTGATGGGTGAGGAGCGGTGAGCCCAGGTGATGGAGGGTGACAGTAGGACTACCCCAGTCAAGGAGGCTGGAGCAGGAAGAGAGTTAGGGGAAGACAAGGCCCACCTTTGCCCTAGGGAGGGTAAGGAGTCTGCAGGTGTCCAACTTAGGGCCTTTCTGGGGATGTCAGGTCAGAGGTGAAGTCATGGTGATATCATGCACTTTAGCTGGAGGTGACACACCAAGTGAGAACAAGTATAGGGGAAAGTAGAGTGGGTTGAGGGCAGAGCAAGAGGCACACTGATTTTCCAGGGGGCACTCAGCAGGAAACCACAGCGGAACAGGAGGCACAATCTCAAAGGTCTAGTGGGGCCAGGTGTGAGGGTAGCCTCAGAGGATAGATGAGGCAAAGTCAGATCTGTAACAGGAGGGCTTTGGATGTGTTCACAGGAGCCCTTTCCTTGAAGTAGGAGAAGCCAGCCTACTGTGACTTGTGTGAAAGGAGGTAAGGACAGGAAGTCTGCAGGGATAGGCCTGGCCTCCGAGTTGAAAATGGGACCGCAGTTGGAGGGAAGAGACAGAGAGAGCACCTTCAGGGTAGGAGGGAGGAGCTAGTGGGTGGAGAGAGCAAGGATAAGTGAGGGGGAGGAGGCCAAAAGAAGGTGGGGTTCTGTCCTGGCCAAGACTGAGGGGAGGGGACATTCTCCAGTCTTCTCTGAACTAGAGGGACTATCTCGAAATACACCCTAGTTCCCCTACTGGAATGTTCCCGAGGAGGGGAGTAGCAGCAAGATAGCCTGAGGCCTCAGAAGCTGCAGTTTGCAAGATAATCTGGCATCCTCCCAGGGATGTGTTCCCATTCCCAAAGGGTACACACTTCATCTGCTGCTTCATGGCTGTCTTCCCAACCTCTAGAACAGGGCTGGCACTCAGTAAGTTACCAAGTAAAAAGAGGTGAAGGGAATTGGAACAGAGAAATAAAAAGCAGAGAGATTGGCTAAAGGACTGGTATAGATGGTAAAGGCTGTTTACTGGAAACTCCAAAGAAGGAAGTCCCAGTAGATGAAAACAAAGGAAGTTTAGTTCAATGTCAGTAACAATCAGGAAATGCATGTGATATCTTAGTAATGTAAAATTACTAAGATAAGACATCAAGGGTAGGGAGATTGTCCCTAAACCAACTTAGCAGAATTCTTTGCTAAGGCTGGCCTAGGCAAGGCAGAGACAGGACAGGGGCCATGGTTGAGGCCTCCTCAAGAGGAGGGCTCAATTCAGTTGGTTAGAGCATTGTCTGAATACACCAAGGTTGCAGGTTCTGTCCCCAGTCAGGGCACATACAAAAATCAACCAATGAATGCATCAATAAGTGGAACAACAAATCAATGTTCTCTCTCTCTCTCTTTCTCTCAAATCAATAAATAAAAGAAACGAGTTCAGAGGATACTGACTGAAGTTTGGGTAAGGAGAGAGTCTTTGTCAACATCAGCATGGCAAAATATAAAATAGAATATTAAATGGTCGGTGAGGGTGGGAATGTGTATACATTGCTGATGGGTATATAAATTAGAACAGCCAGCCCTGTCTGGTGTGGTTCAGTGGATTGAGTGCTGGCCTGCAAAACAAGGGTTTGCTGGCTCGATTCCCATTCAGTGCACATGCCTGGGCTGTGGGCCAGGTCCCCAGTGGGGGTGTGTGGGAGGCAACCACACATTGATGTGTCTCTCCCTATCTTTCTCACTCCCTTCTACTCTCTCTAATAATAAATAAATAAAATATTTTAAAAATAAATTAGAACTAATTCGGAGCATACTTGGAGCTCCAACTTGGAGCATATAATGATTTAAAAATATGTCTGTGTCGTGACTGGCATGGCTCCGCTGGTTCAGTGTGGTCCGGCAAAGCAAAAGGTCACTGGTTCAATTCCTGGTCAGGACACATGGCTTGGTCCCTGGTTGGGGAGTGAGAGGCAAGTGATTCAATCAGTGTTTCTCTCGCTTTCTTTCCTTCTCCCTCCCCCTCTTCTAAAAAATAAATTCTTTAAAAGAAAATACATCTGCACATTCTTTGACTCACTGCCCTTCAAAAAGCCAAACCCTGTCTTCCCTTGAATGTGGGCTGGACTTAGTGACTGGCTTCTAAGGAGTAGAATGAGGCAGAAGTGAAAGCATGTGATCCTCAAGGCCAGGTCATTAAAGTCCTTGGGGCTTCTGTGTTGCTAGGAGTGCAGGAAGTGATCCACCAAGTCAGGAAGACACTGAAGCAGCCCTGAGCAGAGGACTCCATGGAACAGAGGCCTCTCAAAACCAGCACCAACTTGTCAGCAAGGAACGAGATGTCTGGGAAGCCTCCTCCAGCCTCAGTCAGGCCTGCAGAGGAACCTCAAGAGACTCTGAGGCAGAACCTGGCTAGACCTCTCCTAAATTCTTGACTCACAGAAACTATGAAAGATGATATATGTTTATTATTGTTTTCAACTGCTTGGCTGTGGTATTTTGTTTTCTGTGGTTTCAGTTACCTATGGTCAAATGTAGTCCAAACAATACGTGGAAAACTCTAGAAATAATTCATAGGTTTTAAATTGTGCACCATTTTGAGTAGCAGGATGAAATCTTGCACCTTCTGACATCATCCCACTGAGGAGGCGAAGCATCCGTTCGTCCGACATCCCACACTGTGCATGCTACCTGCCCATTAGTCTCTCAGTGAGCCGTCCTGGATATCACACCAACCGGTGGTATCGCGGTGCCTGTGTTCAGACATCCCTTATTCGGTGACGACCTCAAAGCCATTCATAGAACTTCTATTACAATATATTGTTGCAGTTGTTCTCTTTTATTATTATTGTGTTAATCTCTCACTGTGCCTTATTTATAAATTACACTTTATTATAGGTATGTATGTACATATAGGGAAAAAAACATAGTAACCAACTACACTTTAATTAAAACAAACAAAAAAACCCACATAGAGTTACCAGACCCAAATCTATGCACCTGATGCTTCAAAAGGCCGAAACTCAAAACATCAGAATTTGAAGTAAGGAAATATTTAATGATTGAGCGGGTAAACTCAGGAGATGGAAAACCTAGTAGTGACTCCAGTGCGACCTAAGATAGTACAGAGTTCAGGCTTCTATAATGCAGAGGGAAGGGGCAGGAGGTGATTTAGGACCTTGCAGACACCTGGGTGCCCGCAGAGGTCTAATGAAGAGGAAGACTGAGTTTAGTCTGTTGACTTTAGCTGGTGTGAGTCTGCTGAAGAGATTCCTGCAACTCTTTTTTTGTTTGTTTGTTACTTTAAAAAATTTTTAAATTATTGGTCAAGTACAGTTTTATGTTTTCTACTCCCATCCCACCCCCCCACCCCCCAGTGCTTCCCTGCAACTCTTATTTTTTTAATAAAAGTATTGCTTTATACCCCTGGCTGGTGTAGCTC